CGCTGTCTATGACCTTCTCACGTCCAGGACCAGGTCAGGTTAGCCCCCTAGCTGGGCCCCTAGAGCGCGCCCACCCCCTGGGAAGGCGTCTGCTCCCTTCCCACCCTATGGGCGCTGTCTGTGTCCTGCGCTTTCCTCGTCACTGACTGTGACCTCCCCACGCTCTGGACACGGTCCGATTCGTCCCCAGAGAGAGTGGCCGAGTGGCCCCGGGTCCAGTAAGCGTGTGTGCTCGCGGGAGTGGGGCAGAGCGGCGGCCACCCCATCAGACACGGGGGAGGTCACTTGGTGGAGGAGGGAGTCCCGTTCACCCTGTGCAGGACGGAACATCCCTCAGCCCTGTCGCCTCTGCAACTCTTGGCGGTTTGCTCGAGTGCCCTCAACGTCAGAAACTGACATGCTCTTCCTTGCCTTGGGTCAAGGAGCCTTGGGTGCGTCCTCTGAGGTCTCCTGAGGACTTTAAGTCACAGCGAGTTTGACAAATCGCTGCTCTACTCTGTCTCGCCATGCACGGGGAGTGCAGCAGGTTTTGGTGGCTCCAATGACAGTTCTGTCTGCGAAAGGTCGTACCCTAAAAGAACAGGCCACGTTGGCAGAAGACGGGAAGCTCAAAAGGATGTCACAGGCCCCTACCTTTTTGGCCGCCAGGTCGACAGGGGCCAGACACTCGGGAGTGTTGTTTCTCGAGTTGTTCACCACGGGAGAAACCGGATGGAAGGCGATGTTCTCTGTGGGCCGAATGAACTTCATGGCTTCCTGAGCGGAGACGTCGCCGAAGTCCAGCCACTTAGACACGGCCTCCTCCCCGTCCAAGATGGCGGGCATCCTAGCCGGGAGGTCAGGACATTGGGTGGGAGAGGTGGAGGGAGGGCAAGAAGAGAGGGGAGAGATTTGAGTCCGCTGATGGCTCAGATCACCCCAAGACCCAAGGGGAGCTCATCCTGCCTGTGCCCCCGACGTGCCAACTGCTGCCACACGCTCCCTGAGCACAGGCTGACGGGCCACCAACGCTTGGAGAGCCAAGCCACCAAGTTTCATGGCAAAGACAGCGAACAGTACTACGACTGCATCTGGAGCACTAGAGCGTCCACTCTCGCAAACTGGTGAACTTCCTGTGATCCCCCAGCCTAGAATTAAATGGAAACAGATCCTGGAAAACCTGTCTGTCAGAGATAACCACCAGGCCGGGCACGGTGGCTCACGCCTGTCATCCCAGCACTCTGGGAGGCTGAGGAGGGGGGATCGCTTAAAGTCAGGAGTTTGAGACCAGCCTGGGCAACATAGCAAGACCCTATCTCTGCTAAAAATAGAAAGAAGTTAGCTGGACAAGTAAAAATATATAGAAAAATGAGCCGGGCAAGGTGGCTCACGCCTGTCATCCTAGCACTCTGGGAGGCCGAGGCGGGAGGATCGCTCGAGGTCAGGAGTTCGAGACCAGCCTGAGCAAGAGTGAGACGCCGTCTCTACTAAAAATAGAAAGAAATTGGCCAAACAACTAAAAATATATAGAAAAAATTAGCCAGGCGTGGTGGCGCATGCCTGTAGTCCCAGCTACTCGGGCAGCTGAGGCAGGAGGATCGCTTGAGCCCAGCAGTTGGAGGTTGCTATGAGCGAGGCTAACGCCACGGCACTCTAGCCTGGGCAACAGAGCCAGACTCTGTCTCAAAAAAAAAAAAAAAAAAACCCATATAAGTTATGGGAAAAGTGAGTTTAAAGAGACAGACTTGAAAACTTTGTCAATGGCACATTAAAAAACAATAGGAACCCAATAAAATCAGTAGCACTATTTTATTCGTGTTAAGTGGTTAAGAAATCATAAATACTGGAAGAAATACACCACTTTTCCTGGAATAAGACCTGAAGTTTGCTTGAGGAAGTGGGTGTTAGAAGAATTTCAGCTCATGAGTTATTGTGAAGTTGTGGAAGGGAAAGTTATCCAAATTTTGGGTCTTTGCAGTCGTAAATCCTGGGGCATGTTCTTTCGTCCTTGAATGTAGTTCCTCCGAGGCATGCGTTTATTTACTATTATTGTTTTCGAGACAGGATCTCACTCTGTTGTCAGGGTTAGAATGCAGTGGCATCATCCTAGCTCACAGCAACCTCCAACTCCTGACCTCGAGCGATCCTCCTGCCTCAGCCTCCCGAGTAGCTGGGACTACAGGTATGAGCCACCACGCCCAGCTAATTTTTTCTATATGTTTTTAGTTGTCCAGCTAATTTCTTTCTATTTTTAGTAGAGAGGGGGTCTCGCTCTAACTCAGGCTGGTCTTGAACTCCAGACCTCGAGTGATCCTCCCACCTCAGCCTCCCAGAGTGCTAGGATTACAGGCATGAGCCACTGTGCCCCATCTACTTAGGTGGTTTCTATTGTATCATGTTGCGTAGTGCAATGATTTTTAGCGATGTGTGTCATGTTACAGCTGAATTCACTATAACCATGTTTTTCAGAACGACTTAGTTTCCTATTCTCTAAAGCTACCTAACTAAAAAGACGGAGGACAGACCCTCCTCTGAATCCTTCTGGATCCAGGGAAGAGTGCGACTTGCCGGTGGTGGATGTCCCTCAAGCGTTCGCAGGCGTCCACTGTGATGATGGTGTACGAATACAGGACGTCGCCTCCCGCCGGGGGCTCCCAGCAGTCAAAGATCCCGGCCATGGTCAGCAGCCTCCAGTTGTCCCAGACTTTCTCCTGGTTCTCAGGACTGTCTGCGGCGCCAACGC